GGTGTTGTGTTCAAAATCTGTGTAACAGAGGAGCAGATACGGACAACTGGGATGAACTTACCTTCGTGGTAGCCCTAAGTAGGGTTGGTTACTTCGGCTTGTACATAAAGCTGTGTTCCAGAGGTGGATTAAAGTGGATGGGAGAAATGGGACCCGGGTGTATCAACACAGCAGCAAGTTACTCTTAACCATAACGGCATTTGGGGAGGAGGAAAAAAAATCCTGTTCTGTCCATCCTACAAAAATATCAGCAGTTTTATTTAAATTATTGCTTACAGAGTTAATACAGTAGATGCAAAGTCTCTTTGTTTCAATGCTAGTCATCCTTATGATCAAGTCTGTCTCTTCTAGTCTTCTATCAATTGTTCAGTCTTGCATCCCAGCTAAATCTGGTAAATTGGCTGGATACTTTAATAGAAATTACGCCCCTTGGAAATAATGAATATAGTTGTATAGCCTTGTGATGTTAGCACATGTGTTCATAATAAACTGTACTGCAGTGGCTGATGACCACCTAAGATCATTCTGGGTTTTTTCTTTGTGTGTACATGACTAGACCAGGCAGCGTGTTACGGTTTTTGAAGGGGACAGAGCCTATAGGGTATTTGGGGAAAGGGTTTCCCTCCTGTTTAGCAAGTCATTTTTAGAACTTTTTTTTAATGTCGGTGCTTCATCTTCTGAGACTTATTTTTGGTTTTATGGAAGGTTTTACATCAGGAACACAAAATAGCATCTACTCTGTTTAGCTCGTTAGTCTTGAGTTGAAGGCATTTGAAAAAAAAAAAAAAAAAAAAGACTTTTAAACTTTCCTTTTACTTTCATTCATTGCCAGATCATGGACAGCACATACAGTAGTATTAAAAACAAGGTTCAGAACAAATAAAACCACCTTTTTTACCCTTGATTATAATGTGGTTAGTAGTAATTGTGTCTGTTTAGCAAGAAGTCCTGTCTTTGATACATGTCAGGTTCTGTCTCTTTAGTGCAGGTCTGCAACTTCTGATTTTGTCTTTTTGTGTAAATGATTTTTGTTCTCAACTGTTAGTTCCTATCGTGATTTAAAAGAAAATTGAATTCCCATGAAGCTGCTCTAGGAAAATTAAACTTAAGTTCATTCATGTGCTGTACGAGTTACCGGTGCTTTGAGGGCATCTGTGAAGCAAACACGACTTATCACTACAGCTTTGCTTGCCCTAGAGATGTTTCTTTCTTTCTGTAAAACACATCAGTTTTCTGTGACAGCTGGTTCCACAATAGCATAAATACACGTTTACAGTTGAAGTACTGTAGGGCTGAGGTCTGTCCTTTTTCAAGTTTTAAGACTTCTCTAAACTGGAAGAGTGTTGCAGGATGGGAGGAGAGGTTCCACTTCCTAAAATAATGTAAACAAAGGTGTTATATTAACTGCTGTGCTATCCATATTAGCCAAAACTAAAATGTAACAGTATTAAAAAAAAAAAACAACAAAACACCAAACCAACAACTTACTTGAATGGTATTAAGTGTTTAACCTCTTATTTCGCGTTTTAAGTTGAGTTTCCTCAACAGCTGAGTGGCCGTAGTTGAGTTTGTCTCGGGCTATTCCACTCTGAGATATTGGGATTCTTTCTTTTTTTCTTTCTTTTTTTTTTTTTTCTTTGTGAGCTGTTTCCAAAGGGTTTGTATGGTGCTCTTCAGTAAATTGGCTTCTATGTAAGCATTGTTTGGGAATGGTTTTGCAGTCAACAGTAGTGATAAGGCTTTCACATTTTTATTTTTACTTTTTTCTTTTTAACCAAAGAAAAATAAATGGTGGTTGTGGCTCTTTAACTTTTAAAAGCCCATTAGATTAAATCTATACCCTAATATTTAGTAGAAGGGAATATATGGATATATTTTACAGTAAGAAAAGACTGAAAAATAAGCAATGCTGATACTGAACTTGTTGCATTTGAAATGTCCTTTTGTGTTGTATTTGTGTAGTTGCTCATTCCCTGGTAATGTCACTTCATCAGTTACAGTAAAAATGAACTATTTATTTTAATTCTATTTAAATCTGTAAGAATAGGCTATTCCTTTTCTTCCGGTCCTAGATAGTCCTAAAGAAAATATTTGAAACTTTATTTTTCAGGTTTTGAATGTCTCACTGCTTCATTGAATGTATATCCTTATCTCCTATCAAAACACAAAACATTCTGAAGTCGCATGCTTTTTGTGTATTTTAGAGTTTTGGAAGCCTTACAGCCCATGTCTTGAAACAAGTCTCAATTTTCAGGTCTCGAATTACTTTACAGTTGCATTGTGGGCTTTCTTTACTGTAATGTGCAACATTTGTAATATCTCTGCATGTAGAGTAAGGGCCTCGAATCAATCCTTTCCTTCAGCCTTAGTTCTGAGACTGTTCTTTTACTTAAGCAAAGCTTTTGTTGTATTTATACCATTTATAAACTGCTGACATTAGGTATGTGACATCAAAACATCCTAGACTCTGTGCTGCATGAAGGAGGGAGACCGGAATGCAATTGGATTGTAACAGCCTTAATCCTGTCGATTTTCTGAGACTGATTGTACGTGTTAAAGCAATAAGAACGGTATGTTAAGTGTAATACCTGAAATTGTTGTATTCACATCAGCTGTTTGGTTTCCCTGACACAGTCAGAAAGATCATGACCCACAGACATCTTAACGAAGCTAAAAAGGCTGAGCCAAAACTCCTGCAGTGGTCACTGCCGGTTCCGATCTTGTCCTGACTCTGCTGACACAGACCTCATCTGCCTGCGGTGGTTTTACTGGCTTTAGTGGAACTGTGAATGAGGAGAGGGTTCTGTGCCAGCATATCCTGGTAGAGATCGAGACATCTGTGCAATACATGGAGTAATAAAAAGTAACCTCTTAAGACTTTTAAAGTAGTGTTATGCAACAAATGGAACTATAAACTGGTTCACCAATAATGGTATAAATATGGAGACCGCATGGTATCTGTTATTGCTTCTTATTTTGGAACCCTCTACAAAATAGGTAGGCAGGGGGAGGATGCTAGTGAAGAAAACCCTAAAAACTCCTTTGTGTTGATTCTGTTGTGACTTACAGTACAAGAAAATATTATTTTTACAGCAGCTGGTTATCCATGTTATCATATATCACTTTCCAAATTGTAAACAGAACAATCTAAACCACTGTCCACTAATACAAGCAAACACCCCCCAAATTTTAGCTCAGTCTTGCTATTGAGAATGAGAAAGATTAAAAATATGTAACTTGTAGAACTAAGGGTTTTTTTCAAAAGTGCAGCTCCCTTTAATATGTAGATTGTTTGTTCAGCACCTTTAATGTTATTTCTGTGTAAAATGTATGTTTTCACATATTTAAAATGCCTAAGTTTTTTTAAGCTCTCCATACTAAGTGCATTTAATATCAATAATTTAAAGAGCATTCCTTGCCCAACGGATGTATACATTTTTGAGAGAATACCAAAATTATATAATATGAAAAACTACTATGTAAAGTTTTCTACATAAAAAATATGATGTATAATACTGTTACAATATTCTATGCTTTAATCAAGTGGTAAACCAATAAAGTTTTAAGAAGTGTTGCTTGTTTTTTTCATGTACTTTATGAGGCAGCTTGTGAAGCTCCAGCCTGCTCTGTTCCACTGGAGGATTTATCACTGATAATTATGGGGCTTTCACGTTTTAGGCGTTTTTTGCTTTTTTTTTTTTAAACATACTCCTATGTGTCTTACTCGCTCCTTCTGCCCGCTCTTTTCCTCAGTGGAAATGTCCCATTTTTAATGAATAAAAGGGCCGCTGCCCTTCGCCCCCTCTGCCCTCCCGGGCCCCGCAGCCCACGCCTGCCCCTAGCCCCGGGCGCTGGGCCGCCT